ACAAGTGCACAGCCAACCATCAAGCTTGGATTCTCTTGACTTTCACAATGTGAGATAAATAGCCCTCAGGCATGATTGAAATGCTGACTGGGCGCAAAACATCGCAAAAACATTCCACACCCTTCAAATGTTCAACTTGCCTTTAATGAAGCTGGCGGACCCCTTCTTTTCATCTCATCTCCATTTCCAGAGACAACAAAGAAATCGAGGTTCGCTTCGTCCTGCCAAAGGAGACTAGGGATTTGGGAGCCACCAGCTTTCTCACGAGGCACGCTTGGAAGCTGCAACTCTTACAGGAGCAAGATTAGTACGGCCTAAACTGCTCAGGCATGTTCAGGCAGCCAGGCCTATCAAAACGTGGACGTTGACAGGAACAACACACAAAGGCCAAACATGCTGATCCATGAGCCAGTTGCGTTCTCTTCAGGCCCCAAAACACCATGCACCCTCCAGTCCAAGCAGGTGGCATTGAGCTGCACCTCGCCAGGCCCTTGCCACACCCATACGGCCACCTGGCCTGCTGAACACATCACAAAAAGGAATTTCACGGCGTCCTTGCTCCTAGTAGTAAGGCCAGGAGACCCTAGTAGCGTCCTTGCTCATAGTAGCAACGCAATTCTGACAATCTTTCTGAATCTTTCTGACTTCTCCAATGGCACATGATTTCTCAAATGAATGCCAATCCTGGTGGTATCTCCCTGGAGGCTGGTTTCAGGTGAACATCTATCAGCGCTGAAGCTGGGAGCAGGAGTGCCCAAAGCAGCAGCTGCGCCATGGATTCAACTGTCCTTCCGTTGGCGTGGCTTTTGACTGCGTTCACAGGTGAACACAACAGTTAATCCAGCTAAGCCAGGTTGCGTTCTGCATGGTGTCGCTGAACAAAATCGGGATGCATTACTCACTCATATTGTCTTTGTTTTCGGTTCGATGTGGCAGCTTCTTTGGCTGAGCCACTGAAGGGGACGCGGCCACGGATTGAATGAACCACTCACAAGTCCACCAACTCAGGCGAATTCTGCAACAGCATGTGGAAAAATCTGTGTTGGACAATGGTAGTACATCTGGACAGCGTCCACAAACATGTACATCTTCACAACATGGATACTGTAACCTTTTTGGTCGCATGGCACTCAGCTGCCTCCGCCAAAGTCTGCCCAGCCTTAAGTTGAGTGGATATGTGGCCCTTTGCGCATGGGTCCATGTTCACCCTGGCATTGAAGTGTTTGCTCTAGGCCATTGGCCCGCCCCGCCACCAAAAGGTCTTGAAGTTCACACCTCACAAAAACAGTTTTGCACTCAGTTTTGCCCATCATGCCCTTGAGCACTACTGCCCATCACGGCCTGATTGGTTGCTGAGCGAGGTCAGAGCGCACTCGATTGTGGGCCTGAGCATGGAGCATGCTGTAAACATGTGCTTGCATGCAAAGTGTAGCTGAGTGCTCCAGCCTCGCACCACCACATGACATAATCGTCTCTGCTTTCGAAACCTCGCATTGAACAGCCACGCTCGGTGGATGAAGGTGTGGCGTTCTGCGCCCCAAGGGCTCTGGCGTGGAGGCAAGTCGCGACAAACATCGACAAATTCCTGGCAAGAATCGGAAACAAATCAAACAAACACATTGTCGTCGCCTAATTTCACAAATTTGGTCACTCCTGCGCACACACATGGCAAGGATACAGGCGAAGAAACGCACGAACCCACGCCAAATTCGTCACCTCACCGGAACTCATGAGGTTCAAAAAAGCAATCATTCGACCCTTCGTGGAAACCAATATTCCCCGGTGCTGCCTGATCTTGCCGGCTCGGCTGATCAGGATAGTGGGCAGCCATACAGTGAACATATCGCCAGGCCGCACGCCTTTCCACTGCGTTAAACGCACACGCGCCTTTCTCAACCCAGCGCGGCCAAGCTCAATTCAGTGCTCAATTCTTCGAAACCTTTGTTGCGCATATCTGAGAACGTCTTGGCCTCTCACCCGATCTGTTCGCGATTTGGCGGCCGCACTCTTGATGCGCTGCTTGGCGGCGCTTCCACACTCGCCTGATCGAAGGCCGGAAACGTAGAATTGGATGAGATTGTTCAAACCGTGAACGAAGGTATTCTGTAACACTGTATAAATATTTGGTAGGTTTGCGCAGCCTCCTGCGGGCAAACAACCCCGCGCACGCAGTTGGATTTTCGTTGCACTGACTTGGCTATTCCAACCTGCCCCCGCTGAAAGTGACTCGTCACTGACCAGCGTCATTGTGACATCATCTGTGGAGGTGATAGGACGAAGAAGCCTCCAACCATCTCCAACCTACTAGCACCCCCAACCTAAGAGCGATGGCTTCCAACTTAATAGCGATGGCCTCCATTGCTGCGCAACCTTTTCACGATGGATGTTGGAGGTGTTTGCCCCGCCCACCTTCCAGAAACAGATATGTTTTCAAGGACGTTGTCCCAACGCGAAAGAGTGCTCCTACACAAATGTTGATCGCCTGCAGTTCGGAACCTGCAATTTTTCTTGACAGCGCGCATGGACCCCTGAATGTGGGCACTTGACATCCCATGTGGCAGTGGCAGGATGCCGCATCAATAATTTTGGAAGGAGCACTCCGCAAGTTGAACATGGACCAACTTGGAGCACCGTCCGGAGCATAGGGGTCGACATGGTCATGGGTACTGTCCTGTGGGCCGGCTGCGGTTCGTGGAGTTCGGGTAACGCAGAAGTAACTTGTGTCAGGTCAGGAATGCACAAAGGACGCTCGGGAAGCGTTCAACTCAGCAGTGGTGGCTATAACTTCCCTGTCGTGCATCGCCCGTCACATCCCGTCATCCAGCAGAACCAGAGAAACACGACCAAAACACCACCTTATCCAGGTTTGTGCCAGGCACTGTGGTAACACAATGCGCGGGCTGCTTGCGGCGGCGGGCTAGATGCACAGATTGCTGACGCAAGCATTGCGGGTTCCAGCTGCCTATATGTGGTGCTGGCTAACAGGCCCAGCAAAAGCATGATGGAGGATGAGCGCTCCTGCCGACTACTCAACGGTTGAAGGATGCTTGGAGGGAAGCGCATGCGCCGGCAACATCACCCCTGCAAGGACGTGATTGCTGGTCCAAAAAATAGTTTATCGCACGCTCACTACCACCGCTGCCAACCTCCTCCAGCGCCCACCGGTCGCAACTGCGACAATGATGCGCTTGAGTCCTGGGAACCGGTCCTTCTCGTGGCTGCAAGCGGAATGGAGAGCACGCCCCTTGTAGCAGGACGCTCCAGGCTGCGGGAGGCTCGCACGCAGTTTCGCCGTGGCGCGTGGCGCACTACACGACGAAGTCTAGGCGGCTTCCATCCAGGAGGGGTTTTGCGCGATCGCGTTGGTGAGCCATTGTTGAGGAGGCGTGTTCCAAAACTGGCACCTGCCGCATTTTCCCTGCATACACAGTGAGTGATACGCGCAGTTCATCTTGTGAGCACCGCATGTGTAGCGCACTGCACACTTGCTCACTGTTGGTGGTCCTTGCTCTACGCGGCGTATGTTGCAACAGTTTATATGCGGTGCTGGCCCCAAAAAAACCGTTCATCTTTGCAGGGCTGAGCGATTTTGCGCATACATTTTTGAACATGTTGGGGCCCCATGTCCAAATGCCTGATCAAACTAATGTTTATGTTCGGCTGTTCCCTCCTGACCCCTAGTAGCGTTCTTCATCTTAGTAGCGATGCCAGGAGCCCCTAGTAGCGTTCTTGTTCCTAGTGGCGATGCCAGGAGTCCTTGTTCCTAGTAGCGGTGCCAGGAGGGTGTTGCGCCACACACAAACATTAGGTGTGGAGTGAACCGCGAGCAGAGCTGGCACATCAACAGCGCAGAATGGCAATACGATATCCGCACGGATCTCGTGACACTTTCTGTGAGGGAGGAAGGACTGTGCTGCATGGCCAGGTTCATCTGCCGAACTCACTGTTTGCAGGGTTTTTGAGGCAGTGGACAGTGCACCTAAACTCTACTGCGCAGGTGCTGAAATCATGAGTTAGAAGGAACTACCTTCGGACGCAATTCTTTTCCAGGGGGTGGACGAGTGAGTGTGAAAGCGAGCGTGAGTGAGAGTGAGAGTAGCAGTGTGAGGGAGTGTGAGTGTGAGTGAAAGTGGGAGAGTGAGACAGTGAGCATCTGAGAGCACAAAGTACACCGCCTGCCACGAAATCTGCACTTCGAAGTTCGCCAGGCGCTGTGCCTGCCACGACATCTCGTTTCGAGGTTCGCAAAGTGCTGTGCCTGCCACGAAATCTGCACTTCGAGGTTTGCCAAACGCTGCACCTGCCACGATATCTGCCCCTCGGGGTTCACAAAGTGCTGGACCTGCCACGACATCTGCATTTCGAGAATCACAACAAAGTGCTGCACTTGTCACGAAATCTGCACTCCAAAGTCCGACAAGTGCTTCACTTGCCACGAAATTTGCACTTTGTGGTTCAGCAAGCGCTGCGCCTGCCACGTAATCTGCACTTCGAGGTCCACCAAGTGCTGTACCTGTCACGAAATCTGCACATGGAGGTTCACAGAGTGCTGCGCCTGCCACGAAATCTGCACTTGCATGTGCTGCGCCTGCCACGAAATCAGCCTGCACTTCAAGCTCCACAAGTGCTGTGCCTGTCACGAAATCTGCACTTTGAGGTTCACCAAGTGCTTCGCCTGCCACGAAATTTGCACTTCGAGGTTCAAAAAGTGCTGCGCCTGCCACGAAATCGGCACTTCGAGGTTCACCAAGTGCTGCGCCTGCCACGAAATCTGCACTTCGAGGTTGAAAAAGTGCTGCACCTGCCACGAAATCGGCACTTCGAGGTTCACAAAGTGCTGCACCTGCTACCAAGTCTGCCAATCGAGGATCAAAGAGTCCGGCCACGACATCTGGAGCCACATGTCCAAAAGTCACGATTCACTGCACCCGTCACGAAATCTGAGCTCCTCGACGATCACCACCATGTCCAAAGTGCTGCGCCTCGAAGCAAACAACCTACGATCGCTTGCACCTGTCACGAAAAGTCGGCTTTGGAGCACCAAAGCACGAGGTTTCTCCTGCGCCTGCCACGAAAAGTGACCACCATGTGCGAAAATGCGCACGGCGCCACAACGAGAGCGCAGTCGCTAAAAGCACCCGCCGCGGGCCCTCAGATACTGCGAGGCTGCCAGGCGAAGTGCACATGGACGATGTCAAGAGGCATGAATCTACTGTAAAAAGCAACGAACTAGCCGTTCACGGCCGCGCGCCTCAACGATTTAAGCACACCTTCTTTTCTCCTACCGTAAGAACCCCTCAGTGTGCCCAGACTGTTTGGGGAAAAATTTATGGTCTTGGGTATCGATGTCAGATGGCCTCAAAAGCCTCCTCCTTCTCCTCACTGCTGAACGTCGCCTCCTTTTGCCTTTTTTTGCCATGTCTGGGCTGTTTCTTCTTCCAAAGCTCTTCCTCACCCTTCCCAGGCGGAACCTAGTCCTCTTGTCGGCGAGAGTTGATGAGATCGACCTCCTTCACATATAGGCCAGAGCTACAGTTGCCCACACCACTCCGGCGGGGAGCAAATGCCCTCAGTCTTGGATTTGCAGAAGCAGGTCAAGCTTGGAAGAGTCCTGGAAAAGGATCCTCCTGCGCAGCTTGTTTGATGGTCACCATGGTCAACGCCAATAGCTCCCCTAAGCCTGCTGATTACCTAAATTTGCACTGGACAAAATTTAGGTAAATTTTTTGATTTACTTTAAGGCAAGCTTACCTTAAAAGTATACGTAAATTGTAAAGTAGTTCAATTTAGGTAAAATGTAAATGAATTTAGGTCA